ATGTAAACCCGGGTTACGCTCGACGTACTCCTGACGCACTTTCGACGCAAGGGCAGCCGGTAAAACTACGAAAAAAACCTGTGCTGGGCGAATCTATTTGTCGCCGGCGGTGACAGACCCAGCCCAATCAGATTGCACGATACAAAAACCTCAAAAATTTCAAATCAATTATGCTTATGAAAGCAACTTCCGCATAATTTTACCATATATTATGACCCTCACTAACTCTAAATATAGCTCTAAATAAAACCCGGTACTGTCACCGCCGGCGATAAGTAGATTATTTCTTTATTATTTAAAAATTTATACAATATAATATACAATTTTAGTATTTATCGCCAGTGGCAAATTTTGTGTAAATTTCAGTAACATGTAAGTGATATAAAGTACTAGCATTATGGAAAACTTAGTAGCATTATTAGCTAAATAGCAAATTTCTTATAACTGCGTTATATATATAACAAAAAAAATAAAATCGTAAAAAATCATATACCCAATTGTTAAAATTTTTAATATATATTTGGATATATACTGTATATATATAAAGTAATTATAATCATCAATGCTAATTCAAAGTTATTGACTCCAATCGCTAGTCATATATATGCGTATATCAGAAGAGATGTAAAATTTCTTTTCAACCAAAAAAAATAAATTTAACAAAATAATCCAATAATAAAAACGCATCTGATTGTCCACAAATAATATAAAGAATAACCATTTAAAACTTTTGAGCTATTGAGTTTCGAAAAAAGTCTACTGTAGAAATTGTACCCGTCAAAATATATTTTATTCAATTATATACCCAGTTATCCGGGTAATTTATTATAGTCGTCTAATAAAAATGTCTACCCGGGTACAATCTCTAGTCTGCTGGCTTGGTAGCCTAATAATATCTAGCAATGATTCTCAAAGAGGAATGGATAATTTTAGGGTCTAAAAAAATTTAAGTAGAAAACACTTGCCAGGTATTTATATGTGCATATGTGATTAGTCATCAATAATAATCTTATATTTTAATATATTATCTCTTTAGATAATAAAATTCGCCTTTTCTTTTAAAAGAAATGTCAGAAATTGCATTCTTAATACATTAAATCGAATTTATAGTAGATATTGATAAAATTTGCCATTGCACAAACAGAAAAAAAACAAATGGATAGAACAAGTAAATCAAAGAGACGGCAACCCTAATAGATAAACAAAAAAAAAGGACACTTGTCGGTAAAGAATAAATAACTAAATAAAAATCACATTAATTAAAACAAACGATTTACTTGATGATTTAATAGGGAGCAAAAGCAGTAGCTCGTCGTCCTCTATAAACAGGTAAGGAGAATGAGTTAAAACACAGTATTTTACATAAATGCATATCATTAGAAACGACACCAAAATGAAATCGAATGCAATTATGCATGTACCTTCCACGACCTCTGAAAGTTGGGGCAAAATAAGCACCATGTCCATAAAATCCACCTCGCCAGCTAGCACGAGCACCCCGACCGCCCCTTCCTCTAGCATAGCCAGGAATGTTTGTACGTTTCGCGGTAACCTATAAATTCAAGCAATTTAAACGGACAATTGAAATTAGATTTCCTTAGCAAAAAATCTTATGGATTATAGGATTGTTAATGGAGTAGTATATTCCGGAGTCATTCCGGGCTGAACCCAGCCCACATGGGAGTGGGTTTATAAATTTGTAGCAGCTTGGAGCATCCCAGAGTGGGTTAAAGATCATTAATAACCCTAGTGAATTACCATAAAAACTTACCTTAATTGGACGTCCACGTAGCACCGTATTATCCAACAACATTGCATTAGCAACTGAACTTGGATCTGCAAACTCTACATATGCATATCTACAACGTAATTGAGAATGTATAAATAAATAAATAAATATATTTCACGTATAGTATATGAATCATAAGCCAACATACCCTTTAGGATGACCACTAAATTTATCACAAAGGATAGTAACCCGATTTATTGTACCACACGATTGGAAGTGATTCTGTAAATCTTCCGGTGTTGCAGCATAGTCCACCTAACCCGAATTAAAAATATTTATATGTAGAATATAATGAATATTGAGTTGTCAATAATAAGGATTAATGCTTACATTGCCAACATAGATTGATCGAGCATCAATTGCTTCTTTGTCTTCTAGGAATGATAAAAAATTTTTACTATAGTTTCATTAAATAATAATTCACAATGCATTCTACAATGATACCTTCTGTAGTTAAATTCATCTCTTTTTCGACTTGAGCTTGCATTTCGCGAAGTTTTGCCGCTTCTTCTTCCATTTCTTTTACACGTTGTTTCATTGCCTCGAGCTCCTTTACCAAAAAGATAGTGTGAAATTTTCCATCTAACTAAGTATATAACGGAAATTATTCGACTTAAAATGATAATTACCGCTTCGGCATCTTCCCCTTCTTCTTGATGTTCATGATTCTCTTCAATTTGAACAGCAACTTGATTTTCTTCAGCCATGATTGAAGGATAATTCAGAAGAAATGAGGAATAAAATCTTCCATTCATAAATCCCATAGAAGATAGTGTTTGATTTAGACATTTTTCATTATGATTCTCGAAGCGTTAGGGAACATAAAGCATTCCATAAGAAACGAGCTGCAACCACACAAGCAGCTAATCAACGTTGTTTGCTCATAGAATCTTTAACGTTGTGCTCGTGACTTGCTCTCCCAAAAAACTTGTTTTGAGATGGCAGGAAGGTTAAACAGCCCCAAATTGGAACGCGGGCAAAAATAAAAAATCAAGGTAACAAAGGCAAAGTGTTAAAAGACCCAAAACCGATAATTAACATACCAACTCTTATAAAGACAAGTTTTTTGGGAGAGCAAGTCACGAGCACAACGTTAAAGATTCTATGAGCAAACAACGTTGATT